TGAGATCTCTTCAGTCATATCAAGACGAAATGGACGAGACAAAGAATCTCTTGAAGAAATGTAAAACATTTAAATGTTCCTTTGAGATGCAGTGGGAGGAACGTGCAAAATGCATTACCTCGATGGTGGCTGTACATTTTCCACATGAGAAACTGTTTGCTTATTGTCACTGGTGGAATTCGGTAACCTCTAAGAAGTATGGATATATGTGGCAAAACTTTAAGAACCCCGAGCTTATTACACTTTTGCTGGCTAACTATTCCTTTAACGATAGACCTATATACTTTGTGGAAGGACATGTAGAAGAGGTAAATGGGAAAGAGAAAGTTATTTTGGGCGAAATAAGGACATTTAAGCGCGAGCCTGGATGTACTGTCATCACACTAGTTGCTGGCTCGCAAAAAGGAATGTTTCCTTCGAGGGATGCATCTTCTAACGTCATTCGTAAATTTAGCAAAGTTGGAATTGTGGAAGTTGACAACATCTCTATTGCCTGGCCAAAGCGTGTTCATAACAGGTATAGTGCCCCACTTGCAGATATCTTCGAATATGATGAAGATACAGTAGACACAAATGTGTTACATCTGAAAACTATTCATGTTTCGATGTATACTGCAGCCGACCGAATTCTAACGCCCGATGAAGAGTATACCATTGTGGCGGCCGGTCTCAAAGAATTTCGTTCTGAACGTCGTTGGCATTTTATTACAGCATGTGGCATAAAGGTGCGCGCAGGTAAATCGTTGGCAAAGATTTGGAGACCATGGCGTGTGGAGCATCTTCAAGGTCTACAGAGAATTGGTAGTGTGCAAGGTGTACCGTTGATGACATTTCGTGCAGTAAAAAAGGTTCGTATTCATGGCGAGGACGATATGAAGTGCGAGCGCGTTTGAGAGGTTTTTAAAAACTTTGGAAAGACTTTTGTTAATTATAGACTGGTATTATCATCTTCGTGGTTTGACATTTCCTCGTCATCATCCTTATTTGACGTTTGTTCATCATCATCATCTGAAGCAACATCTATTCCTACAAATTTCTCTTGCATTCTTTGTAACTCAAGACCATTTTCCAGTTTGTTTTGTACTGTAACGGTTTGTGTTAACTCTGGGACAAGTTGCCTTTCTCGTGGATAATCTACTCCTTCTTCCATCCATCCACGATGATGTGGCTGCTCTTCGATGTCCACTGCTTTAACAAAGTTGCGAATATTTAGCAACAGAAGACAAAGGCGGAATGTAAGATAAAACTCCTTTTTGGATCCAACTCTTACAATCTCCTTGTTATTAAACTTGGCGAATGTTTTCATGAGATCACCAAAGACAGCCTCTGACGTAGATCGAAATCCACCAAACATAGCATTAAAGTTGGATTCCTCTTCGTGGAGTTGCTGTAGTCGTTTCTTACGAATGGGAAAACAGAAGTTACGCTCGTCCAACTTTTCTTTTTCCACAATATCGCCAATGTATTGTGTATATCCTCCATCGAGAGCAATACAGTCCATGTTGTTGATCTTCTTACCAATGCCCATCTCTTGTAACATTTTCCCATCGTTGTTATCACGACATGACGCTGATTTGGATACAAAGAGAACCATTCCATTGGCATCGATGGCCACTTGCGTTCTCAAACCCGATTTCTTTAGCTTATAAGAATACATTGCTGCTTTATCTTCCCCATATGTTGCTCGAGAGTCATGACCATCCAAGTAGAGAGTTACATGCTTGAACATTGGGGGATTTTTCCAATTGGCTGTTCGAATACGAATTTCCAGCGAAGAGAACATAGATGCAAAACAGCGTGTAATCTCCTTCTCAAATAATGCACGTTCCACCTTGACGAATGTGCTGTATATCAAATGGAATGTGGACTTTGGCATATACTGTGCCATGGAATCCATAGTCTCTCCAGCGACGAAAAAGTACAGAAATGCAATTCCTTTCTCAAGTGCGTTATATGGACCAGGGAAATAGTGTTTACTCCAGATGGTAGATAGAAAGAAAAACACTGGTATGGCTCCAAGTCTCTTCATCAACACCTTTTTCATATCCTGTATTCTTGCGATTGGTTTCAACTCTGAACGATGAAATGTCTTGACCTTTGGGCACATTGGCCACGGTTCATCAAGAAATCCCCATTCGTTCTCCAACAGATTATCAAGCAGCCGTGCAAGTTTCTTTGGCGTAGGGTTTACGACGGTATCAGTCTCCATAATGTCGTTTTCTGCAAAAATAGGGATTATACACACGTAATTATGTCAATTATTCCCTAGAATTCCCCAGATATGTCATATTAAGAAATGGTGGGCATAGCTTAACAAAAGACGAGAAAACAGGTGTACTCCCTCGCCCAAAAAAAAGCGCTCCAACCTTTTTGTCCTGCCCGATTACCGATATGTAAAATATGTTTATGTTGATACTCTCTCCTTACGTTTTGCTCTTGTAATACTGCTAGATAACTATGTTGCAACATATTAGGTTTATCATTGCTCCCTAGTTAGTCATTCCTTGTCACTCTCTATCATCTCTGACTCACTATGACACTACACCTAGAAACCTAGTTGACGACTTTGTATATATATTTAGTTGTACCATAGTAATAACATCAATCATCACTGCTTCAACTCTCGTGCCCGTTCTTTACTTCTCTGTCCCAGTCTTCGCCTGTTGCATGGTAGCAAAGGTTCCCTCGTTCCACCGATCTCTTGATTTTTCCCTCCTCGTTTTCACTGCCCGCGTTTTACTTTAATTTTCCCTCGTCCCAGCTCTCTCTGCACACCAGCCCTGAATTTCATTCCCTGCCCCTATTTTCCTTCGTACCCTCTTACACTCTGGACATTTTTGACCTCTCCGCACTTCTATCTGCACTACCAGTCATGGTTACCCCTGCCCGCCTTAACCCCCCTCCTGTCTTTACAGGCGCCCGCGACGGTTTCTCTGCCTTGGCCTGGCTCGTTGCGGTTAACCGCTACTTCAACCTTGCTAAGATAAGTGAGACTGAACGAACACCCCACGCTCTCTCGTACTTGGGCACGCCTGGCCCTGCCCGATGGTTTGATGGATGTGGGCTCCCTGATACTTGCAACTTCGAGACCGAGTTTACTCCTGCTTTTAAGCTAGAGTACATTCCCAACAACTTTGCGGGCTCCTGTCGACGACACCTCACCAATCTTCGCATGACCACCAACTTTTCGACCTACTTATCTACATTCAAGGAACTTTTGGGCGCCCTCCTTGGTTATGCCTCCACCGACGCTGCCAAGACCACGGTCAACGAGTTTGCCCAAACATCCTTTATCGACAACTGCCCCTTGGTTCTTCAACAGATGATCGAAGGACACATTATTCAAAACCCCAATATCACCCTCATTCAGATCTTTCAATACGCCCAAGAGATGGACCGCATTTACTCCTTCAAACCCGACACCGGCCCCAAGACCAACTCGCTCGCCATCGCCTCCGCCCCCATTATTTCTTCCTTCACCTCTTCCTCCGCTCTCTCTCAAGCCACCCCCATGGAAATCGATAACATCCAGATCGCCCTCAACAATATCACCCAACGATTTAATCGCCTAGAGAGAAACATGGGTCATAACAATAACTACAACCGCAACAACAATAACAACAACGGCCCCCGAAACAACAACAACAACGGTAATCCCCCTTCCCTGACCCCTCAGGAACGCGAATGGTGTAAAAACAACAATGCTTGCCGTCGCTGTCGCCAACCTGGACATTATGCAAAGGAGTGCCCCATCTACGGCGACAACAACAACACCAACCGTGGCAACAACAACAACCGCCAAGGACGATGGGTTTATCAAGTAGCCGTGGGTGATTCCCCCGAGTCGGGAAAAGCCTCCGACGATCAGGCTTAGTCCAGGACTTGATCGTCGACGTTCCCTCCCTTTCTCCTCTGGACAAAGGGAGTGTTTCCTTACCAGAGTTAAGTTACAGTTCCAAGAATAAAAATTCTGCTATCAAAAACACTCCCCCCTCTGTATCCATTATTCGCACTACCACATCCGCACCTCGTAGCCTACACAAACTCTCCTTCTCTCCTCCTCCACTCTCCCTTTTTCCCTCATCCATCCCTGCCTCGCCTCGTACTCCCTCCTCAATTGCCATCGACTCGACCACCACTGCCCCCAACACTCACTCCACCACGGTACCCTTTGACGATGAGTTACAACTCACCGACGACGTATCTGATACCTCGTCTGTTGGTCTTAGCCCATCAGAAGAAGTGGACCTGGACCCACTCTCCTCTCCTGCTGCTTTAGACCAACCCATGTCCAAGCGCAGGACCAAACGCTTGCGACACAAATCCGTCCGCCTGCACGCTTTTACGGCCGAGAAAGCCTCCCGTACGCTCTTGTCGTTTATTGGTAATGTGGCTGGTGCCCCTGCGCGTATTTTAATCGATTGCGGTGCGGAAGGGAACGTCATCAGTGTCGCATTTTCGTGACTGTACATTATCAAGAAGCGTACTCAGTGAGATAATTAAGGGCAGTGTCCCTTAGTATTTAAACCCTTGACTTAGTAATAAACGATCCCCCATCTTCTTTCTCACTTACTCCAAGGTACGCTATATTTTTCATTTTTTTAAGTGAAGATTCAAGGGTAACGTTTATTCGAAGTATCACACATTACATCCATCCATCCAAACCACTCAATCCATCAAAGCCCAAGGACAACGTCCATCAACAAGCGCGGTATCTATAACACGGAACCAAAGCACTCTCTTGAATAACACACGAACTATTATAGTGTAGTAGAGTCCAACGGACCAGATTTATAACAAGAGAGATCGGAAGAACAAAAGAAAGATCATTGTCATAACGTGATCTTGAATCAAAAAAGACTAATTGCTCATTATGCTACCCCATTCAAAAAACAGAAATGAATCAACTATGGGAAAAATAGCAAAGAGCAACGGCAAACGACCTCGAACCACCACCATCATGGCACCAACAACAAGCGGCCATCAAACCAACACCCGACATGCCCAGATTCTCGTTGAATCCAGCCACAGCCTATGAAACCAATGAGACCAGAGTCTTTCTCGAGCGCTTCGCAACCCATCTCAAAACACGTCTCGGCATGGATACCTTCGAAAACGAGTGTCATCGGTATCTCATCGTCCTCACTAACGACGACCATTATCAACAAGAGCTACAACGTCGATTCGCCGCCATCGAAGGAAACATCGGTTGGGACATGGCGGAGAAGGTATTCCTCAGCATCTGCCTCACCAAAGAGGAACGTTTGGAGAACATGCGGAACATGGCAGACATGGGACGCAATATGGGCGAGACGTATAACCGTTATTCCGCTCGTATCCTTCGGCATGCACGAGTGAATGGAATCCAAGACGATAACGACATCATCCTTCATCAACTCGGGAGGTCGATCCCGGGGATGGAGTACGATTTCCTGCTCTTTAAGCATCAGATAAAGAACCCAGACGCCACAGCCTTTAAATCGATCAATACCCTATGTGCACTGATGAGCACATTAACGGGACCTGAGGATGCAATCGATCAACCTCGGGCAGTGGGACGATCTCAGGATCAATTGCAACAGCAGCAGCAGTCTTTTGGGCCACGGCACAACACCTTCCCAAATGGAGTTCGAGGATCACGCGGAGCATCTCGCGGAGCACTCAGAGGAACTTTCCGAGGCCGAGGACAAGGGAGAATGAACCCCATGGGACGCAGCAACAGTCAGCCCCCTTTTGGGCAAGCACCCGGGCAACCTCCTCGAGCAGGCATGAAGTTCTGCCAAGGCTGCAGCTGGAATAACTCGCACGAAACCAAGGACTGCCGATTCTGCACATTCTGCAGCAACAGGGGTCACACCTATGCAGACTGCCGCACAAGAATGCGTCAAGAACAACAGCAGAACGGTACTCAAGGTAAGCAATCTACCATCACCATAAATGCAATGAAACTAAATAATTATGCTGAATTAACATTTAATCAAAGCAATAATAACACTGACATACCCTTCTCTCTGCAAAATAACCCGCAGGCAACCAGCAATCCTAATGATCACGCAGACAAGACGGACATTATGAGCCACTTGGTCGAGTCCCTCGACACTAAAAACATAAACAATAGCATTAGCAACATAAACAACATAGACAATATAGAACTGAATACACAACATACACAATGTGCCATAACAATCAAAAATAATGCTACTGGTGTTAATCGCATTCCTGTCATACAACGAGTACGTACAAACCCCACGCCTGCCACAACGGTGTCAGTGCCAAGCCCTTGTTTGGATATGCGTTTAGATGTTGAAAAGGGGGGAGAAATAAAGGAATGTCAATCAATTCAGAACGCAAAGAAAGAGGAATTTGCATTAAGCAGTCATACAACAAACAACAAAGCCACCGAAGAAGAGCCGGAACTAATTTCTCTTTCGCGTGCCCATAAGTTTACAATAAAACAAGCACTTCACCTCCGCAACCAACAACAACTATCAAAGCAAGCAAGCACAAACAACCCAAGCATCACTGTCGCCTCATCATCCATTCTACCAGGATCAACACAATTACACAATAACATTCGGGCGATACGACTTGAGGACGCCCTTTTACAGGAACTGCTAGGGAAAATGGATTCGCTTAGCTTCTACAATTCAACAAACAATAAAACAATCACTTTGCGAGCACTACAAGCACCCAACATCTCCGACAGAGAAAAAAGAGTTCTCACTACCATCACATTCGAAGGAGAGAAGTACGAAGCACTAGTTGACACAGGAGCCACAGACTCTTGCATTCGTCGGGACATAGCAGAAAAACACAAAGTGAACATCAACCCAGTCGATGGAGTCATCACGCTCGTTGATCAGTCAATCACAATCCCAAGAACTGGAAGAACAGATAACATCGAACTACAGGTTGGAATTCACTATGTGTCAGCACCACTGGAGGTCATAGATCAGCAATATCCATTCACAATTGGAATCGATCTCTTCCACCGATTTGGACTGGGCATAACCGGACTACCTGACCCAGGAGCGGATGCTACAACTCTTCCAGATCCAGATCCGGACCACAAACCTTCACTCATACCAGGAAAAATTCCAAGTCAGGAAAAAACAAAACAATATATCAAAGAAAAAGAAACCTTCCTCAAGGCTATTGAAGGTGTACTAAAGGAGAATAAACAAGTTCCCGTCACCAGTCATTGTCCCGTTCCGGAAATGAAGGTATTTCTTCCTGTACCTGAAGGCACTGTGCTTTTTAGACGACCGCGTCCATTTGCAGAAAAACAAATTCCTATTTTCGATGAAGCAATCAGGAAATGGAAGAATGACGATGTAATCAAACTAGCCCCTGTAGGCAACGTCCATAACAATTCATTAACGCTAGCAGCAAAGAAAGATGCAGAAGGAAACAAAACACTATGGCGTGTGTGTCTTGATCCAAGACCCTTAAACAAACACCTACCAGACGACAATTATCCATTGCCACTTATACCAGATATTCTCAACCGCCTATCAGGCAACGCTGTGTACACCACGATCGATCTCACACAAGCATACCACAGACTACCAATCCACGAAGAGGACCAACCTCTCACGGCATTCATGCATAAGGGTACTCAATACATGTTCAAAAAAGCACCATTTGGTTTGAAGCCTCTGTCGAGTCTATTTCAGCGTGGAATGAACCGGATCCTCGGTGATCTACCGTTTGTGTGCAACTTTATTGATGACATCGTTATATTTTCACGTTCGAGAAAAGAGCACGCTGAACACGTAAAGATTGTAATTAAACGTCTCAACGAGGCAAAATTAATTATCAACCGCGATAAATGCAACTTCTTCAGCACACAGATCTCACTCCTTGGATTCCTTGTGGGTCTCCATGGCAAGAGTGTTGACACCAAGAAGCTTGTAAACATGCACAAGGTGGAATATGCCACTTGCGCCAAACAAATCCAATCTTACCTCGGAACGTGTAATTTTTTCCGTGAATATGTTCCAAACTTCAGTACGGTCGCAGCACCTCTGGATGCACTTCGCAGTCGAACCGACTCTTTCGTAATGAATGATGAGCAGAAGCGCGCCTTTGATGCACTACGAAATATCTTGCTCATAGCCCCTGTCTTGTCCTTCCCAGACTTCAGTCAACCTTTCTATGTAGCCACCGATGCTTCTAACGTCGGGATTGGCGCTGTACTCTATCAACTTCCAAAGGGTCCAAAGTACCCAGACACTATCAACTATATATCATTCATGTCGCGATCTTTGCAAGATCGTGAACGCAGATATTCAGCAACGCATAGAGAATTGTTAGCGATTGTCTTTGCACTCAATCGTTTTCACTACTACCTCTGGGGAAGACACTTTGACTTATATACCGATCATCGTTCACTTGTATACATCCATACTCAACCTGAGCTCAACTCAATGCTCACCAACTGGCAAGAAACAATCTTAAACTATACTTTCACGGTGCACTATCGCCCAGGCATTCTTAACGTATTACCCGATGCCCTATCACGCCTATATCCAATTGAAATCACAAATAAAAATACAACTAAAGCTGATCAAAAGAAAATTATTTCCTACATGCATCTAATCCAAGATAAAGAAACTGAACGCAAAGAAGTAGATCCAGTTAAAAGAAACAATATATTGTTTACAACCCATGCAATGGGACATATTGGAGCAAACGCAATGGTCAATTCTATTCATGAACAAGGACTTACTTGGCCTCATCTGTCACAAGAATGTGTCGATTTTATCAAACGATGCCGAGAATGTCAACGATTCAATATTGCACGAAAAGGATACCATCCTATGAAAGCCATCAATGCTCAACTTCCAGGAGAACACATAGCCATTGATCTGGCAGGTCCGCTTCCGTTGACAAAGAACAAAAACGTCCGACTACTTGTAGTTGTTGATGTTTGTACGCGATTTGTTTTCTTGCGCGCCTTGCCAAACAAAAAAGGTCTAACTGTAGCCACTGCGCTATGGAGGCCATCCATGTTCGGCTCCACCAACCATAGACTACAGTATAAAAATATCTGTCAACACCTATTAAAACAGTGTGTTCCTTGAGAGTACAACAAATCTCATCAGCTTTTTCCTTCCACCAGTCTCCATTTTCTACATTCACCACCACTACTTTGTAACATCATCTACTTTAGCTGAGAAAGCCTTGGACATGATCATCTCATATTGGAAAGGAAATTACTATCTGTAATATCAAGGATCCAATATGAGATGATCATGTCCAAGGCTTTCTCAGCTAAAGTAGATGATGTTACAAAGTAGTGGTGGTGAATGTAGAAAATGGAGACTGGTGGAAGGAAAAAGCTGATGAGATTTGTTGTACTCTCAAGGAACACACTGTTTTAATAGGTGTTGACAGATATTTTTATACTGTAGTCTATGGTTGGTGGAGCCGAACATGGATGGCCTCCTAGTAGAGCATTTGTTTTCGTGTTTATATAATTAGCGATGGTTACTAATATCTCCTTTTCATGATATATCCTATGTGTATATCCAATATAGCACTCGTGATACTGGTGATGATGTAGTGGTAGTTTTAAAAAAAAAGTTGGATCCCGATTTTTTTAAAAAGTAGCATAGTGGCTTTAACAAACATTGGTTGTTGGAAAGAAAGGGTAGCTGATACGTTTTTAATGGCGTTATTGCTACACTTTCTCAACAATATTCGACATTCGACATTTGACATTCGGCATTCGATTCGACAGCTGACAAACTGTAGTTATTACCATAGTTATGATATTTGATATGAACGCATTTTGGATGACCTCGTGATTATCGTGATGTTTAATTTTAATACATTCTTGATAAACTCGTAAGTATTACAATGTTTAATGTTGACATACTTTAGGTAAGCCCACGATTTGCACGACGTTTAATATTATTACACTTTGGTTAACTTACAATTGTTATAGCATTTATTGTTATACAGATTGTAGGTAATTACGACAATGGTAAAAACAGAGATATCGCAATTAGACCATGCATTGTGGGTAGTTGTAGATATAACAATTATATCGTTTAAAATAGACGTTTCTTAAAACACATCACATATTTTATAATGCAAATGGCTATTATATTACAACGTTTCTATTGCATTTTGTGTGATAACAAGATAGAAAAAATGTATTGTTAATAGAGTAATTATGTCGTTAAAAATAGACGTTTCTTAAAACACATCACATATTTCGTGATGCAAATGGATATAAACATCGTGGCGTTTCTATCGCATTTTGTGTGATAATAAGGTAGAGAAAATGTGTTGTTAACAGAGTAATTATGTCGTTTAAAATGGACGTTTCTTAAAACGTATCACATATTTCGTGATGCCAATGGGTATAAACATTGTGACATTTCTATCGCATTTTGTGTGATAATAAGATAGAAAAAATGTGTTGTTAACAGAGTAATTATGTCGTTTAAAATAGACGTTTCTTAAAACTTATCACATATTTCGTGATGCAAATGGGTATGAACATTGTGACATTTCTATCGCATTTTGTGTGATAATAAGGTAGAGAAAATGTGTTGTTAACAGAGTAATTATGTCGTTTAAAATGGACGTTTCTTAAAACGTATCACATATTTCGTGATGCAAATGGGTATGAACATTGTGACATTTCTATCGCATTTTGTGTGATAACAAGACAGAAAAAAGAAGTTGTTAACAGAATAGTTATGTCGTTTAAAATAGACGTTTCTTAAAACACATTACATATTTCGTGATGCAAATGGGTATGAACATTGTGACATTTCTATTGCATTTTGTGTGATAATAAGGTAGAGAAAATGTGTTGTTTAAAGAGCAACTATGTCTTTAAAAATAGACGTTTCTTAAAACGTACCCCATATTTCGTGATGCAAATGGGTATGAACATTGTGACATTTCTATCGCATTTTGTATGATAACAAGACAGAAAAAAGAAGTTGTATAAATAAAAGTTATGTAGACTTAGGAAATGTCTATAAAATATCGTTTGTATACTTTGGTGGTTGGGAGAAAATTGGT